TGCCGATATGGTATGGACTTGATGTATCGGCGCACCTCTAAATGTGTATATAAAAGTGTTTTTGTAGAACGTGAAACCTGTATTCCTTCAGTTCTTGTACACATTTAACTGTAAAATATTACTGTTACCTCTTATATATACCATTCACAGATGTATACTGTAAATTTAATATAATTTGCCTAATATACAAATGGTCCTTGTTTCGAAGCCCTGTAATCAAGAGTGATAAATTACACAAATTAAAACCCTTGTTAACATGCTCCTTACATATTCAAAATAATAGTCAACATTTTATTAGGGATGCACTGATAAAGATTTTTATACTGACACCGTTTGCCGATTCTTAAACAGCCATATCAGCTGATACTGATCCAACAGCCGATATGCAGCCCAGTAGTGTGGGGTACAGCTCATTAAGTCTGTGGGGGGCAAGGGGCACAAAAGGGGCATGGTGGGGTGGTGGGGGCAGATCAAGGCCCCCACAGAGGAAGGGAATGGGGCAGGGGCAGGCGCTGCCCAACCAGAATGGTAAATGCGACCCTGCTGGAAGCACGGTAGAGCCACGGGTGGCTTGCACTGGGGGGTGCAGGGAGTGGGGACAGCTCCCCACTGCCGCATGCCCCCCCAGGGGAGGCATGGGGGGCAGGCATGTGCCCTCCTGGATTTGTGCATGGAGCAAGGGTGGGCTGCCCAGTAAGGACTTGGGTCCCAATAAGGGCTTGGGGCCTGCGCCAGCCTCTTCCCAGCGGCAGGGCTGGGGCTGCACTCAGGGCAAGCAGCGGTGGCGCTGGGAGAGGTGGCTATGGGATCGGCTACAGCCACCCTAAAATTCTCCAAAGCCATCCCTTCCAGTACCTCCCCAAGGTCTGCCCTTGCCCCAAGCACAAGTCTGGGGTGGGGCACATCCCCCCATGCCTCTCCTGGGGGGTGCACACAGCAATGGGGAGCCATCCCCTCCCCTCCCAGCCCTCAATGAGCTGCCCACAGCTCTGGCCCACTCCTGGCAGGGTCACATTCACTGCCCTGGCTGGGAAGCACCTGCCTTTGCCTCCCTCCCTCCCTCACCATTTGGGCTTCAATTTGCCCCCCACCCCTTCCCCCAAACCCCTTTGCCCCTACAGACTTACCATCAGGCAGCTGCTCTCTTCACTGCCGGACTGCATTCCTGGCTGTACGCATGCTGTGGCTGTGCACATGTATGCAGCATTTATTGGTGACATCATCAGCTACATCGGCCAAAAAACAAAGCTGATTTCCGATGTTAATTTTCCTTTTATCGGTGCCGATCCTATATGTGACCAATATATTGGTGCACCTCTACAAATTATAATCCTAGTTATTTTACTGCTTCTTCGGGTTATTCAGAAATGGAACACACATTATTTGTAGCTTATCACGTCAAACCAAGTGCCATTATATACACAGAGGCAGGAGACTGCAGAGAGACAAAAATGGCCAGTTTAGGAGGGGCACAGGGGGGCAAGTGCTAAGGCCATCACCTATCTTGGTTGTTTTCAAATATTTTGCTGGCATCACTGCAATTGAGCCATTTAAATGAGACCAATCAACAGCTCTACAAACATTTACAGGAAGCTCATTCTAAGAGTGATAGGCCACAAAGTACAATGCACAAAAGTAATTTGTAGGTAATGATGAACAAGAGACCAAAGTCAAACTCTCAACAGCAAATGAGAAATGTGTCAAATAGCTAGTTATGAATGCCTGAGTCTCCCCTTTACTGTTGCCCATCGGTCGATCCTAGCATGAAAGGATCAAATGAAACATCTGAAAATATGACCAAATTGAACAAGGACGACACCACTTAACAGTGAAGAGAGACAAAAAGGAAATCTATATAATTTGAAGAGTATGGGCAGTTTTATATGTTCATTAATGAGCTTTTGCTACTGCGCATTGAGTTTAGTACCTCTGGGCACGTTTATTCATGCGGCCGGGGGGTGCAGAATGGCACTGTAATTAGAGCAGCTCCAAGAGCCACTCTAATTAAAGCACTGCCATGTCTCCTGTATCAGTATCCCCATGCTTAAAAATGGTGGCAGGGGTGCTTGAACTAAAGTTTGTTCGATGAGTTATAGTTCAAGCGCCCCCACTACCATTTTAAGCACAGGGTCACTGATACATGAGATGCAGGAGACTGCTGGAGTATGGCAACTGCCACATTCCAGCAGACTTGATTAATCAAGTCAATTAATTGAGTCAATTTCATTCTCTCTCAGATTAATTGAGCCCATTCCAACACATTGGAATTCCAGCCTCTCTGGTCATGTATAGGCACCCTCTAATGATGTACTAGATAAAGGCACAGTAGCTGCGCTAACGTGCAATAGCAAAGGTGAACCTTTTTGTGGCACTTATTGTGCAGTAGACTAATTCTATTGTGCATTAGCACGGTTCTTGCTGTGATGTGCTAATGCGCAGTAGAACAGTCCACTGCACATTAAGGCATCTCCTGCAGATGTGCCCTATGCAAACAGAAATTTGTAGTCAAGTTGGTTTTTTGGTTTTTTTTTTTAAACTGACTATACCTTAGTAACTACTACCAAACTAATTACAATGCATCACTTGCAGTTAGAAGCCCACCTATAGCATTTTATGTTATTGCATAACAAGCTTAAACTAGAATGTTTTTAAACAGAGCTTAAATGTACGCTTCAGAAAATATCTGTTAGTCAGTTTAGACCCATCTAGCAACAATTTCCAGTTTGAAATGATGGTAGAAAACTACCACACATTAAGTTAGAAACTGGTTTACCATACATAAGGAAGATAAATATAAGCTTTATAGGCTATATTTAATTCACAGAGTATAGCGCACCTACTATGAAAATAACTCATCTGCAATCTGTTGTAGGAAATTAAGTGCCACTAATATAGGTAGCCTAATCACACCCCTTTTCACTTGGTGGTAGGAGAAAGAAGAGCTATTACTGAACCTATTTCAGAGCTAACTTGTTGACCTGAAGAATTACAAGTATGAACAATAATTAGTTGGTGTTACATGAAAATGTCAGGCTTCCAAAGTTGAGCAGCGTGGGTTGACAGAGAACCTTTGAACCCACCAAATAATCCCTGAACTTGATAATGTACATAATACGGTGATATTAGGTATCCTGACAGTTTCTGTCTCATATGCTACCCAAGACTGTCCCTGTAGACTATAGATTTAGCATACTAGAGAGTAAATACAATACAGACACTGGCGTAACCCAGGCAGCTGTCTGACACAAGTTAATTTAGCAACCTGTTTACAGCTGGAGAGAAAACCTATCCGGACACAGATGCCAACTTGGCAAAGGCTTAATGAAATCCTTTGGGGTCAGAGTGAGTTCTGAGGAGTGGCAACAAATACTCATCCATCCACCCACACACACATGCACGTGCCATTTTGAATTTACTTGCACCATGAAGCTACAGCCCACGGTCTGGGTTACTCGAACTGCAGCAGCTTTGCCTAACTATTAGGCATGTGTCCTTTTTCATTAACTTGAGGTTGAACTCCTGGAAAGTGTTATCCCCATTAAGGACAATGATTACTGGGAAGACTAATGCCTAAATTCACCGTGTATGGGTCCCCAGTCTCCAATAAAAATAAAGGAAGTGTTGCTCTCTGGTAAGAAAACTGGGACCTCTAGCCATGTAACACCAGAACAGTTCCCTGTGAAACTTAAAAATTCCAAGAAAATGTGTTCTAGCTGTATACAATTTCATTCACAAACACCCTTGGAAGTGTTAGCATTTAAGGTTCCTGTAACTCCCAATAACCTACACAATGAACTAAATTTCCCTTCACACCCACCATGACACTGATGTTCTGCTCTCCCTACCTACACAGGCATTCCCACATTGATAACAGGAGCACCACTTCTGTAAAAACAGCAAGATTCAGGTATAAATGTGCAATGGAAAAGGTCAAATTAAAACTTGTATTCTATCTGTAAAAATTTATGTTTATAAACAGTCATATAAGATGCCCATAATTAGAAAATTTCGTAACCCAAACATACTGTAAGACTGTTTCATTAGGAAGTGAATGTAGTGTTGATGGGTATGGTTAGTGCAACAGCCCTGACACCTGAAGTCTTCTACTAGTTCCCACACAAGAGTCTCAGCAGCCAGGAAAATTCAGTTCTTAGTTTCTGTTCAGTGGGTAACACTACCCATTGTCCCTGAACAGAAACCCACTGCAGTTAATAGGAACCCTTTAGCTGACTTCTCTAGGTTTTAGATCTTGCTCATAGTGAACCAACTGCACATCAACCCTGGTTTGGACTCCAGGCTAGGATCCTTATCCTGGAATCATTTACACACCACTTAATTTAGTCTTAAATAGTTCCAGTGAAGTCAATACCACTATTATGCAAGTTATACATGCATGGAAGTATATCCAAGATTAGGGTCTAAAATTCAGGAGCAAATTTTTGTAACTATTTGTAATTAAAAGCAATTCAGACATAAAAATTGTGCCATACAAATTGCTTTCCCTAAGTAACTTGCATTGCATTCGATTAAAATATTATCTAATTCATTTACTTTCACAGTATTCACTAGTGTTTGCATTCCTCAATAGGGACAAGAAAAACAAGTTACTTCCACTTTCAGATGCTCAGTTAGAACCATAGGAACATTTGTGTTCATAGATTTTGGAAAAGTGTGGAGGGATTTTTTTTTTTAAGCCTAAATCTGAATTTTGGGTCACATTGTGCTACGCTCTTTAAAATGAAAGCTGAGATAGATTATTATCCAAAATATTATTATTGAACTGATATAAAGTTCTGTAGGTCACCTTTTTACTAGAGGCAAGAAGAGCAAGCTGTAAATAAACAAATATGGGCCAAATTGGAATTAATCCAAAGAAATCAGAACAATATATAAGCGCTTATGAGCAACACTACAGCTTTAAGAACTTCAGGCTATTTTAGGAGCCAGAGGGCAGACAGGAACATCTGACACTATGGGAACAGTCATGACTACACACTTACATGAAACTCTGTGGTATTGAGAATGTGACGACCATCCGGACTCCAGCACGAAGCCACCAATCCTGCTGACCCTTCGTCAATCTTGCAGTGCCAGTCTGGCTGTTCTAAAGACCAGACCTAAGTCAGAGAGAAGATCAGTCAGTGCAGCAAACCGAACAGTACATCAAACCCTCTTCTCCTCACTGCAGACCACATTACAGCTGAAAAAGAAAATTCCATCAGCACATACCGCAGAGGTCAGGAAATCTTTGAAAGCCTTTGGCCATGAAGGACTGGCGCTGGATTCCACTACAAAAGTAAGCCACACATCTCTGTGTATTAAGGCAGATCATAAAACAAATTTTTGTCAGGATTGCATTCTGAATGCCCAACATGTCTAAAGATTTTGTTCCCTTTAAGACAAGTCTGCATGTATTTATTACCTTCTGAAACTTAAAGTTTGAGAGGCTCTCCAGGAACCTTTGGTTTTATAATTTTACTGAGTACTTTTTAAATTTACTTTGATTTCAAATAAGAAGGCTTTTAAAACTTTCAGAGAAGTACTTTGGGCTTTCTTCAGAGCAAGTGCTATTGATCAAAGCATGTTATTTCAGCAAAGACGCTGAACTAATGCTTGGCATTAGAAATTCTAAATTTAACAGTAAGTTCTAGACAGAAATCACAGGCCCTGCTGTACCTGCCCTTACCTGAACAATCCCTCGTTTGTACATGGCGCATAATATAAAGAGAGAATCAGATGACCATTCCACATATTGGATCTGATCCAGGCAAGTGTAGAGCTGAAGGATTTGAAGGGTGTTCACATCTCGAACTATCAAACGGTACTGCACACATGAAGCCTGAAAGCAAACAAAAATAACAGCTTAGTTGCTACACAGATACCAGAGTTATTAACAATGCCAAGACTTATGCTGTATCATTCACACATTGCCCTGTTGCTCTAGAGTTCAACTACTTTGGATGCACCAGGATTTATACTTTTGGATTTGAATGCTTGTTATAAGCCGCATAACTAAGTGACACAAGAGGAGTAAAGACAGATCAATCAAATTCATATTAAACACTAAACTAAGGTAAAAAGGAAAATATAAAAAGAAATCTGGTTAAAATGGTGCATTTTTAAGTTAAATAAAACTAACCCAAACATGCATTCAAAGCTGAAAACTGTCATTTAAAAACAACATTTAAAAAATCATTTTTAGGTTAAAAAGAGAGAAACAGTTGAAATTTTGTACTCTTTTCACGTTCAGATTGGACAGTCAACATAAAAACTAGTTTTAAAAAATTCACTAAACATAGCTTTAGACACTGTATTCCCCCCCCATTCCCTCTGCCAATTTTTTCAAGTGAGAAAATTTTATTGTAAAACCACAAAAAGGGTTTTTGTATACATTTGTCTAAATAAATCTTGCCACAGACTATGGTACGCCAGTGATTCTCAACCAGTGTGCCATGACACACTGGGTTGTCTTAAGAGCCTTTCAGAGTTGCTTCCGGATGCCATGCAATGTTAGCACTCTTAGGTGTGCAAAACATGATCACAAGAGAAACCCAGAAATTCCAAATTGAAATCCACAGTATTAAAAGCATTCTGACCTGTTGTGGTCTGCCTGAGCTCTTTAGAAAAGAAATCACTCTGTTATCTTGCTGTAGATAAAAAGTGAAAAAGAAGAGCTGACATCTTTGAAGAGATGCCACGAGTCTAACGATCAGTGCTTTGACTCTATAAAGGTGCCATGAGTCTAAGATTGAGAACCACTGTGGTACATGATTTCTTTTTAAACCCACAACTCGCCTAAAATTAAAAACCCAATTAAACAACTGCAGAATTAGAATCTCCCGCAGCAGGAACACATTCCTATTCTTTCCATTACTACTTTTAATTCTAATACTTAATTCAACATTTGAGAGTTATTTCTTGGCCCCCATTAATTTACTGGGAAGTCTGACCTTGAAAATTAAATATCTAGGCTGAATGCTGTCTGACATGATAAAAAAGATGAAGGTTTTTATTCCATTATAAATTGCCATAATGCAGAGATTAATCACACAAAAAGACAGAGTTGTACCATTGGGTGTCACTATAATACGTTAGAAGAATTTTGCTTTACACACATTAGAAGAAAAAAAAAATTGATATCTGATGCCGAGAGAAGGAGCGAGGGACACTGAATTCGCTCAAGCTTTAAACACACCATGCACTAAATGGTTCCAGTAAATTTTTGTATTAATTACTTTTCAATTTCTCCCTGCAGTTTAAGGGGGAGAAAAAGAAAGAAAAAACTTGAAAAGCATGAATCTCTCTGAGAAAGACTAGGTAGTATCATGTTTGTGCTCCCCTTCACGCATCTCATTATTACTGTAGCAGTCAGAGGCCACAACTGAGGTCAGAGCCCCACTGTGGTAAGTACTGTACTGCTCTATGAGTTTACAATTTAACGAAACTGATCAGTGAGGGCTCAAGAGGAAACACAGATACAGCATGGTGAAGTGACTTGCCCATTGTCGCCCAAAATATCGGTAGCGGCTCTGGGAACGCAAGCCGCCCCTCTCTAGGCTCTGCGTGGTGGCGTTTTAAAAAGAAAACGCACAAAAAAATCCAGACGTTTTGTGAAACCTGCGCACTAAACGAACGCCTAAATCTTACAACAAAGCAAAGTATAGGAACTTTCCCCTGGTAACGACATCCTCGCTACGCAACCCAATCTAAGTCAGCCTCATCCACGAGCAAGAGGAAAAAGTCAGTTGTCCCTGCACCAGTTATTTCACTAACAGCTGCGACCAAACTTTTGCAGCAAGCACAGGACTACACGCCATGTCGAGGAGGCGTCTTTTCATGAACTGCGCCTGTAAGATATTAATAGCTACAAGCACCTATGAACACACACGGGAATGGGGGAGGAACAGACCTAAAATCCAAACTTGCTTAAACTCAACAAGTAATTTCTATGCCAGCACCTCCTGAGCCGGGCAGGGCAGCACCTGGGCAGCCCCCCAGATCCTTCCGAGGGAGCCAGGCGCTGCCCCAGAAGGGAGGCGCAGGCCCGCGGCTCGTAGGGGGGCAGCGCTGGCCTCTCTCAGGTCTTTGCAAGAGAAAAATCACCCTATGGGTTTTCATCCCCATTTCGACAGCGCAACAGGGAGACTCGCTTCTCTAGGGCCGGCCGAGAGGGCGCGCTGCCCCCGACCGCGGCCACCCGGCAGGGGAGCCGCAAGCAGGTGCTTTCCTCCGCCCTCTCAGCGGCAGAGAGCAGAGCCGGGGGCAGGAAAACCCCAACCGCCGCCGCCTCCTCTCGGGGAGGGCGTCTCCGCAGCGCGTCGCGCGTGGGCAGCCCCGGCCCCGGCCCTCACCAGGCGCTTCCCGTCGGGGGAGAACTTGCACAGCAGCCCCGAGAGCTTGAAGCCCTCCGAGAAGTTCATGGCGGCGGGAGCAGCCCCGGGGCCGGCCAGGGGGACGAGGGGAGGGGTAAGGGGAGCAGCCCGATTCAAACCCACCGCCCGGGGGCTAACCGCCGCCGCAGGCCGGAAGCGGAAGCAGGGAGGCGGGGGCGCCTGAGCGCGCG